TGTTGTACAATAACTAACACGCTTAATTTTAGTTGGAGAATTACAACTTAATTATAAAGTGATAAAGTTTTATTAGTATCCGCCAATACAACATTGAAAATATATTTTTAATCTCGTATTGACATGAGTACTGTAATAACATTTACTAATGGTTTTAGTTTTTAAGAACTAGTAGTATTAGTTTGGAAAATTATTAAACTAATGATCTTTGAGCTCAAAGTGTTACTTCAATGATTTTGATAGTGAAATTGTAACATTACAATCTCGTGTCATAAATATATATATATATATATAACTATTGAGCTTTAAATAAGCAACAAATTAAGTTTATAAATTCTTGACCTAATGAATCTTACAAACTAGGGCAATTAGCCATCAAAAACTAAAATTTAAGTTATCAAGAATGTATAACTTTAGTCATTATATGCAACTCAATAATTTTATAAATATTTTTACTATAAGATTGATGTGTTGTAATCTCTATTACTTAAATATTAAATGCTCTTATTAATACCACATATTATAATCATAAATTAATAATAAAATGACTCACCTGATTTAGTATAGCATCGTTGTAGAGTTGTTAAATTAAAAGATGAACTAAGTCATTCATATAATTTTTCATACGAGATTAAAATATTACAAAATTCACAACAAAATTCTTTAATGTTAGCGTGAAAATCACATATCCACAATAATAAATCACTATATAAATATTGAAAATCATCGTATTTAAAAAATGAGCACATACATTATGATATCATTTGTAATGTTTCAAATTTAAAAATTACTTACATAATAATTTTTTTAATACAAAGTATTTACTTTCAAAAGTCAAGACTTAACCAAATTTTTATATAGAATCCGAATTATAAATGAGAATAAGATATCGTAATAAAAAAAATTTAAATTATATTTTTGAAATATAGTTATCTTGATTCAAAAGTTATTAGTAAAATAAATACTAGTTTTTAGATATTATGTATTACCATTAACATGTGATTTCGTACCATTATTTAAGATATGCTGACATTAAGTACACATAATGTTAGTTTTTAAAACTTTCACAGCTAAAATGTTGACAAACATTAAAATTTTACTTGCTCAAAATAAAAAACTATTTATTTTAACTATATTTTAATAATATATATTTCACTATTATAACATAATTAAAAAATACAAATGCTCTAATTATTCCAATACCAATAAATTTTATATGAAAGTTATATTGTATAATAATTAACACACTTAATTTTAGTTGGAGAATCACAGCTTTAAGTATAAAATGAGGAAATTTTATTGTTATCCATTAATACAACAATGAAAATACATTTTTAATATTCTTACTGACGTAAGTATTGTAGTACGAATTTGGAAAATTTGAACTCAAATTGTTACATTAATGATTATAATATTGTAATCTCATATCATAAATATGGATAACTATTGAGCTTTAAATAAGCAACAAATTAAGTTTAGAAACATATGACTCAATGAATCTTCAAACTCGAGCAATTGACCATCAAAAACTAAAATTTAAGTTATTAAGAGTGTATGACTTTAGTCATTATATGTGGGTTTAGAATCGAATTCTGAGCCAATTGGAGAATTTTTACCTCGTTTGGCGGCCGGAAGTTGCTCCGATGCGGTGGCGGGTGGCGGCGGTCGGCTCTCCCGCGACTGGGCTGTCTTCTCCGGCGAGGGGCTCTAACGGCTAGGGTTAGAGTTTGGGTGCGGATGAGATTATTTATAGCCATCTGCTTTTAATCTGGACCGTCCATGCGCGTGCAATCTGGGCCGTCCGTGCTCGTTTTTTATCTGTGCCGTCCATGCGCGAGGGAACGAATCTCAGCCGTTCGATCGCGCGCACGCAGATCGCCCATGTGTCTCCCTTCTGTGTGGCCTCCCGCGTCAGCGTCTCTGCCACGTGACACGTCCTGGTTGGCTGGGGCTGCTGACCGGGCAGCTGGCGGGGCGCAATTTTTTAAAATTGTATTTTGACCCCTGATTTTCAATTTTTCTTTCAAAAATACCCCTAGAACTCAAATTTTTACCCATTTTTTTCAAAATTATTTTCAATTAAATCCCTAAATAATTTTTACCCATTATTATTATTATTATTATTATTTCTATTAAAATAAATTAAACTAAATTAAATTCAATATACATATGACTCAATGAATCTTCAAACTCGAGCAATTGACCATTAAAAACTAAAATTTAAGTTATTAAGAGTGTATGACTTTAGTCATTATATGTAATTCAACAATTATATATATGTATATTTAATATGAGATTGATATGTTGTAATTTCTATTACGCAAGTGTTAAATGTTTTTATTAATATCAAATATTGTAATAATAAAATAATATACAACGATTCACACGATTTAATATAGTATCATTATAGAGTTGTCAAACTGAAACATGATTTTATATTATTTGTAATATAATGAACATCGATAACAATTAGCCTTTTAAGTTAAAAACTAAGTTATTCATATATTTTTTATGAGATTAAAGTATTATAAATTTTACAACAAAATTTTTTAATGTTAACATCAAAGTCGCATATCCACTATAATAAATTACTATATACATATCGAAAATCGTCACATTTAAATAATTATTGAGTTTACATGTATTCTGATATTATTTATAATATTTCAGATTTAAAACTACTTCCGTAATATTTTCTAAATTACTTACATTTAAAAATCAAAACTTAGACTCAATTTTTATACAAAACTCAAATTATATATGAGAACAAGATATCGTAATAAAAAATTCAAATCATATTTTTAAAATATAGTTATTTTAATTCAAAAATTATTAATAAAATAAATAATAGATTTCAAAAATTACATATTATTATTATCAACATGCGATTTCGTATTATTATTTAAAATGTAATGATGTTAAGAATGCATATTATATATATCAAAAGTTTATTAATAAATAAATGCCAAAAAGAAACTATAGTATTCAATTTTTATTATACAAAACTCAAATTATATATGAGAACATGATATCGTAATAAAAAATTTAAATCATATTTTTAAAATATAGTTATTTTGATTCAAAAGTTATTAGTAAAATAAATAATTGATTCTAAAAATTAAGTATTATTATTATCAACATGCGATTTCGTACCATTATTTAAAATATAATGACGTTAAGTGCGCATATTATATATATCAAAATTTATTAATAAATAAATAGAAAAAAATTATAGTATTCAATTTTTATTATACCAAACTCAAATTATATATGAGAACAAGATATCGTAATAAAAAATTCAAATCATATTTTTGAAATATAGTTATTTTGATTCAAAAGTTATTAGTAAAATAAATAATAGATTTCAAAATTACGTATTATTATTATCAACATGCGATTTCGTACTATTATTTAAAATATAATGACATTAAGTACGCGTATTATATATATCAAAATTTTATTAATAAATAAATGTAAAAAAGAAACTATAGTATTCGATTTTTATAATACAAAACTCAAATTATATATGAGAACAAGATATCGTAATAAAAAATTTAAATTATATTTTTAAAACGTAGTTATTTTGATTCAAAAATTATTAGTAAAATAAATAATAAATTCTAAAAATTACATATTATTATTATCAACATGCGATTTCGTACCATTATTTAAAATATAATGACATTAAGTACGAGTATTATATATATCAAAATTTTATTAATAAATAAATATAAAAAAAATTATAGTATTCAATTTTTATTATACAAAACTCAAATTATATATGAGAATAAGATATCGTAATAAAAAATTTCAAATTATATTTTTGAAATATAATTATTTGATTTAAAAGTTACCAGTAAAATAAATAATATATTCTAAATATTACGTATTATTATTATCAACATACGATTTCGTATCATTATTTAAAATATAATGATGTTAAGTACGCGTATTATATATATCAAAATTTTATTAATAAATAAATGTAAAAAAGAAACTATAGTATTCAATTTTTATAATACAAAACTCAAATTATATATGAGAACAAGATATCGTAATAAAAAATTTAAATCATATTTTTAAAATATAGTTATTTTGATTCAAAAATTATTAGTAAAATAAATAATATATTCTAAAAATTACGTATTATTATTATCAACATGCGATTTCGTACCATTATTTAAAATATAATGACGTTAAGTACGCGTATTATATATATCAAAATTTTATTAATAAATAAATAGAAAAAAATTATAGTATTCAATTTTTATTATACCAAACTCAAATTATATATGAGAACAAGATATCGTAATAAAAAATTTAAATTATATTTTTAAAACGTAATTATTTTGATTCAAAAGTTATTAGTATAATAATAATATATTTTAAAAATTATGTATTATTATTATTAACGTGCGAAATTCGTACCATTATTTAAAATATACTGACGTTTTATTAATGAATAAATGTCAAAAGAAAATTATAGTATTCAATTTTTATTATGCAATACAGCTATACTCATGATGCGGGACTAATTATGGCGTATATCCCAATTAACAAGGTCAAAATGATTATCAAATCAAATATATAAAAATTATTGGTGTACATTTTTATGAAGTATTGAAATGATTAGTAAAGATAAAACAGGGTGATCCAAAAGTCAAAAGATAAATTATCGGAGGATATTTTCGTCATTAAAAAAGATTTATCCCACAAATCTCGGAACCGTTTGGACCTGAGTTCACCCCCTAACGACTGGGTTATTTTCTCTTACTCGTCAAATTCCGCTAAACCTTACTGTCTGTCACGTATGATGTATCACGGTACCATTAGTAACAAGGCATGCCTGGACCCACCTTGGAAAACTCGACCACCTCATTTTTTTTAATCATATGATCCAACGATGGGAAAGCGCCGTGACCAAACGCCTAATAAACTCTGCGTCATTTTAGCGCATAATAGGCTTTGTTTATGATCTGAATTTATTTATTTATTTTTGAGAAAAATTATAATTGTACAAGTAATTAGAATTTAGCAATTAACAGAGGCTTTCCAAATATTTATGGTTAAGAAGAGAAAAAAAGGAAAGAACTAGCCTGGGGGAGATGCCAAGCCTCTTCGCCCCCAACTTGGCATTGTTTTGAGGTAAATGTTGATTTAAATTAATATAGTTTTGAGTAATTTTCAGACTAATATGTATATATATGTGTATATATATAGTGAAAATGGCATAGAAATGTAATCAGACTCACTTCGTGTTGTTTGGAAAACTGTAATCAAACGGTTAATTGTCTGAATCTGTTGACTTCCAGGCTCTTTCAGATCGCGATCTCATGAATTAGATTGTATCACAAGGTAGAGTTTCCTGTGAATTTAATCGTTTGGAGGCTTTCGATTTTTTTTTTTTTAAATTTTTTGGTGTCAATCTAACGCGTTAACCTGATTTTTATTTGAACTGACGAGGAAATGGAGAATAGTTTGTTAAATTTTCTTTTGTTTTTTTCCGTAATTATCTTGGATTGCAGAGCAGAGGGTTGAATTTCCATTAGGCAATGGGGATTATGTCGCGACGGGTTTTACCCGTCTGCGGTAACCTCTGCTTCTTTTGTCCTTCACTGCGTGCAAGGTCAAGACAGCCAGTGAAACGTTACAAGAAGTTACTTGCTGACATATTCCCCCGTAATCAGGTGAATCTAACTATTGCTATGTGTTACCGTGCTTGAAATTGTGCATGTTTCGTGCATTAGCTCGTTGATATTGGATGAACATTTGGTTGGCTTAGGGGTATGGTATTGTACCGAGTACTGTGAGCTTCTGGGGTTGGCGCTTGCTGATTTGTTGTCCTTGAGCATAATTCAACCTAGGGTTTATGATGGTTGACAATTCTTTTATTATGTCACAGAATTTTTAGACTCACTTGAGATATCAAAATAATCTCTAGTTTTCACTTTCGAAGTTATTTATGTTTATGCGTAGGTACATGTAAGATGGTGTTCATGTTTTGAAGCTATTTATGTTTATGCATAGATACATGTAAGGTGGTGTTCATATTGTAATAGCCACAAGAAAAAAAAAAAAAATCAGTATTACATAAAACACTTAAAATAATAATTTTTTTTTTTCAAACTGATTATATATCTTTGCTTTTATTTTTCTAATATAGCTCTTATTTTTGATTACCATACATTCATAAAGTATTTATTTGTATAATTTATATGAATTTATAGATGAAAACTAGAAAATGTTTTTGTGTATCAAATAGAATCTAGACTTTCTATTTTTCTTAAAAATGTTTTTGCTGCACAATGTTATCAAGTCAAGTTATGAATTAGTATTATTGAATTTCAATTTAATTTTGGTTATGATCTGTGATTTTATCTTCATAATAGAAGGCTCTTCTGTGATTTAAGGCATCCATGTCCAAATCATGAAAGTCTGTAATGTAAGATTCTGCTGTAAGGATCATGATTGCTACGACTGTTGATGTGAAGGCTAGAGAAATTATTGTAGTTAGTAAATTTTTCTTAAGAAGCTGATAGGAGCTTTTTTACGAAATTTAAGCATCTTAGGGAGGATTGGGCGAGTTGGTGTTTATGCCGTACTAGTTAAATGTGTTGGGAAATAATTTCTTAGAAGGTTGTTTTTGAGGAAAGTTGAGTGTCAGTTATCTAAAACGTAAAAGCTACTGTGCTCAGCTAATCATAATGCAAGTCTAATCTTTGATGTAAAATTGTCCAAAAGGGGCATAGTGATAAAAATGACAATTGATTAACAATTAGTGACATTCTTATTTTTTGTGGATCTTCATTTGATATATGTATTAATCATTAGTAATATCTGGACAGTTCTTTATTTATTTGATTTATTTCTTAAGTTTAATTAATTTGAGTAATTTATCATATATGGGTAGTGGTATACTGTTGTTTGAAATGGGAATCTATTAAACTGATGAATTAGTTAAGATTAGAGTAAAAGGAAAATCATTAATATTTAGTTGTTAAGAAGAACATATATTTTAGAGGTATTTCTTTTAACTTTTGTATTTTTGTTTATGAAAAGCCAAATTTGGCTTTAAATTTTAATTGAAAGCACTTATTTAGAAGTGTTCGGCCACTAAAAAGCTCTAGTCAAAAGTTTCAGTTGATAGCTCTTATTGTTTGTTAAAATAATATTGAGACGAAAAAAGAATATTATATGCAGGCAGGCCATGGGGGGAGGGGCAGGGGGTTGGAGAGTGCTGTAATCCATTTTGAAGACTCGTTTGGAACAGATTATCCTCTCCAAATAAGGGAGGATGATCCTTGAACAAAACACACATGGTTCAGAACCCATAATCTCTAATTCTACCAAAGAAGTTGTAAATATCCCAAAAAACAATTTTGTTTTTTTCTTCTCAAATCATTCAGTGGATAGATAAAAGTGGAGTGGGACTCTCTTCTTTCTCAGGCACTCTTAGTTGTCAATATGTGTAAAATCTGCTTTATCTTTAGTGCTTTTGGTCTTTTATTCTTGGAACCAAGTGAAGACTGATTCTGACATCCCCTTATTCCACTTTTTCACTTGTTCAAAAAGAGTGAGGTAAGGGTTTGGAAAAGGGAGTATCTGATATACTGATATTCTCAATATTCTCCTGTTCTGGCAGGATGCTGAACCGAATGATAGGAAAATTGGAAAGCTTTGTGAATATGCTTCAAAGAACCCCTTACGAATTCCTAAGGCAAGTTTAATTATTTTTTTGGTTTCATTAATTTCCATTTCTCATTGAAAGGGCATTTGAGTGTGTTTGGTAATGAAAACATTTTCCATTCCTCAGCTTTTGTTCTTAAACCTGTATTTTTTGCTTAAAAAATTCATTAAGAACATATCCAGTTTATGGAATGTTAAAGCATTTTTTCAGAATATGACAAATAGAAAAGATTTTCATTGAGATTTGTCTCTTCATGCATACAGAACAGGTTTCGTAATTTTGAAAAGGATTTTTCGTTTGTCCTAGAATACATGGAAAATCATGTCTTGTATGTCTTATATGTATTTGGAAAATAAGAAGAAAAAAGATAGTATCAGCCCAACTTATTTTCTTCCTGAAAAGAAACATTTTTCAGATTTTCATGGATAGGGTTATACGCTTCAACTAAGTCTCAGTTTGAGCACAGCTTTTAGCTACGCCTTTTGCGTTGGAAAGACACTTTTGAAATCAAACGGATAAATGTAAAATATTTTTGGCAACAATTAAAGTCAACATCTTTTTTAAAAAATAGTTAAAAATTTACGCTTAAAATTTCAAAAGCCAGTTTCATTAAACACAAAAACTTTGTTCTTTTAAAGTGAAAATACTTTTTACAGTTATTTCTATGTAACACCAAATAATTTGAGTAAAAACACTTTTAGTTTAAAGATATTTTAACAGCACTTTTAGAACTTACAACACAAGTTACAACCTGTCCAAACGCCTATTAAATTATTAAAATACACTCTTGCATTTGTTTCCATAAGTTTGAATTGAACTTGGCAACTTCCAAACGAGCATTTTATTCATTTAATATTGATAAGAAAATATTGAGATCATGAGTCATGCTTCTACACTGTTTTATGACTATTTGAGCTATTCTGAAATTTAGAATATCAGTCTTCTTCTTAGAATGATTCTATTCGTTACTGGAAACATGATGAACTATTGTGGTTTTGCAACTTGGTGCTAATACGAATGAGTTTTGGATTTAATCAATAGATTTGACCCTTTATTTTGTGGTTTCTACTCTTCCTGTGAAATGTGCCATTTTGGTTTAACTTGTACTGTAATCTGATGTTTATGACCTTTTAATATTTGTTTTGCACAGATTACGAATTATCTAGAACATAAATGTTACAAGGAGTTACGAAATCAGAACTTTGGATCTGTGAAAGTTGTGTTGTGCGTTTATAGGAAATTGCTTTCAGCATGCAAAGAGCAAATGTGAGTTTGTTTTACTTCTAATGCTTTGAAATGATAAATTTTCTTTTCCATTTTCATGTTGGGGAAGTTTATGCTTATTACTTTTGGGATGAATATTCTTTTATATATTTATTATCTTAAGAAAGAAGACAGAGAAAATTTTATACTCTGAAAATACTCTTTGAAGTGTAGAATATGTTCTTTAGTTACTCTAAAGGGAGACAAACTGGCGCTGTTCACTCTCTCCTCTGTTTTGGTTGGAGAAGTTCATTTGTTTATTTATTTATTTTTTCATTTGATTGATTTTCTTTTTGTTCTTTTCAACTATGTTAGCAATCTTTTACACATCAAACCTTCTGCTGAAGCTCTATAATGCTTGCAGGCCGCTGTTTGCTAATAGTTTATTAGGCATTATTCGCTCTCTTTTAGAGCAAACTCGACAGGATGAAATGAGGATTCTGGGATGCAGTAGTCTTGTTGATTTTATAAGCAACCAGGTAGGTAAAAGTTAGTAATCTGAACTTTTTTAGGAGTGATATTGACGAGATTTTACTAATAGCATGACTAAGAAAAGTTTATGCACCTAGAAAGTGCTCATTTGATTTTTCTGCTTAAAGATTTCATTTCTCCATTGGGATTGAATGACGCTGTAGTTCTGGAAGCGGACAATCCATTGTGAAAGGGGCACCTAGTGATGACATATCAGTGGCTTGAGAAAGACCTTCATAATGCTCCCTAGTTGCTTCATATACTATTCTTTTCTAATTACTTATGTTGCATGTGAAAGAATGCTAATATATTAAAATCAAATTTTAGATGGATAGTTCATACATGTTTAACTTAGAAGGCCTCATCCCTAAGCTGTGTCAAGTGGCTCAAGAAGTTGGAGATGATGAAAGAGCTCTCTTCTTACGTTCAGCAGGAATGCGAGCTCTGGCATACATGGTATGTTTCCTTTACAAAGTCTAAATGTTCATCCAAACAACATTAATCAGAGGCCTACATATGCAAGCCTGCCTTAGAAGTATTACGTAACAACAAGAGTCTGAAATTATTGTCAAAATCTTCTACTTATACTCGTTTTTCCTTCTTGAATACTTGATCATTTTGATACTTCTAATATTTTGGTTGCTCTATTCCCTGGCTTTCTCAAGCATGATTGTCTGGGGTGCTTTACATGACTGCTGACAGGAGATTATCATTATATTGCTACTGTATGTATGCCTTTTAGAATGGATGTACAGGAAAAGTTCAAGTGTCTCCTTTTTTGTTGCTTAAGGCTTAGTTGAGTTGTCCTTAGACTATAATGTCAGTTAGTGGTGATTATAACTCTTTTATTATGGTTGGGTTTTGGCTACATCAGTACAGGTTAAAAATATTTTTAGTTCTTCTTTTCTTTCTATTTTATCTCCACCAATCAGCTCATCTCTAAAACATTTTGTGGTTTGTAAGAGGTCCTCTCATATATCATTTTGTTTTAAAATCATATCTCCGCATTACTTATTCAGTTTTATATGCTCAGCAGATATCCTCTCGAGCTTAGTTTAAGTTCTCATCAGGTCCATTGTTGGAAAGATGTTCTAAATTGATTTCTACAAAGATAAATTGTACTAAATTGCCATTAGATCTCTATAGAGTACACTAGAAATGTGGCCTTCCAGTTCAGCTTTGACTTTTGATTCTACATATGCCTCCTTGATTTTAAGTTAAACTCCGCTCAAGTCACTGGTCAATCCTGTTAATTCACACTTCATGTTACAATTTAAAGCAAATAATATTAAACCAATACCTAAGCACCTAAATTTCTTTTTGTAACTTGATTTTCTGTGACAGGAAAGATTCAAAACCCTTCCAGAGTCCGTCCAGCTAAATCTTCCTATGTGCCTCTAACATTCAGAGATAAAATTTTTTGTCCTTGCCATGAAGATTCAGTATTTGCATAAATACAACATGTTTGTGTCCTGATTCAAAAGAAAGAATGGTGGCCATACAGCGATACCTCTTTCACAGTTTCCTTAATTAGTCCACCAACATAGATCTCATAGTTTGTTTCCATTTTTCTAATAAGAACATAGGTACTAATAGAAAGAGGGAAAGCTAGGATAATCAAGATGGGGAAGATAAGACAAAACATTATGAAAAAATAGTAATCCAGTTCCTATGCAAAGTGGATATTTGACCATCCTGAACCACATCTTGATAGTTTTAGCCAACATCAAGCTGCCATGTGTCCCAAGCTAAAGATGACAGATAATGTATCTATTATTTTGCAACAACAAACATCCTTGCAGAACTTTTCAATGGAAATAGGGTTGGGGCTAATTTTAAAACTTTGATGACCAAATCTTTCTTGATCCACCCTGGCCAGTGTTGTTCAGGATGTGGCTCCATTGACTATTCTAGGTGGTCAACTAATGATTTTGAGACTATGTTTTTAAAGCTGCCATGACCAATAATCAATTGTTGTGCTTTCTACTTGATGGCAAAACATGCCAAATGAAATATCTGATATTTTTGGGAGTTTTTCTCTTGTAACAGAATGAACTTCTGTTACTAAATAAATAAGCTTGGTAACTTGCTTCTTTAACAAATAATCCATCACTACTTGATGCAAAAGGCAAGAAATAAGGACCTTCCCCGACTCAATGTACTTGGCACTCGTGCCTGTTGGCATTGAGTGAGTATTTTTGTGGAATTTTAGTTTTAGCTCCAAAAATAGATTTGTGATTCCATTGCTACCACCTCCGTGATTTGCAGTATCTATTATTTGTATAGGAGCTGTTGCAACTTGCTTATCCTTTTCAGAGTTTACATTTGATGAGGGTTGAGACAGATTTTCTTGTGATGGATTGTCAGATTTCATTATATTTTGGCCATGAGAGCCATATTACAGGCTCCATCAACTGTCCACCCATTTTCTCACTGAATTTGTTTTTGGATGGAAAAGTTCAAGCCACATATATATTGTGCCACCGGACTTATATTTTAGATAAGCCACACTGTCATAGAAACTTGTAAAAGTTTTTTTTTTAAATAACAAACTTGTAAAAGTTTTCTACTGTATTCATCAAATTTCTAGTATGAGAAAAGTCTAATATTGTTGAAATGACATGATCACAATCCACCCGGGGGGGGGGGGGTAAAATTGTACTTTTAAGCAACCTTTTTCATATTGGGACCAAGTTGCTTGGGCCTATGGGTACCTTTCAGTGCTTTTGATGATTGGTTTGTATCTGATCCTACCAAGGAAGCATTTGTTGACTTTTATAGTCAATCAGCCTATCTCTTTTAGTTTTGATATGTCCATGATGTCAAAGGACTCTGCTACCTTGAAGACCCGATCAAGAAGAGGCCTAATACTAAAACCAGGAAAAAGGTGATTCCGAAAGTTCCACTAAAATGAGGAAGTCAACTTTAGGATTGATGCTCTAATTTTTGTTTAGTGTATATTTGTTAGATCTTGCATCCTCCAGTCCAAATCCTGGCATTAACCCTGCCTTAAGGAGTCACCTATAGTAGTTTGTGTTGTCCTATCTCTTTGCTTCAACATGGTATTTTTTATATTAGTCAAACAACAAGAGTCAATAATGCGACTCTTCTTGGTTGTTTGTTGTGTTTTCACTTCTTCCATCTCTGGATCAGCTTCATCTATTAGTGCTTCCACATAAAAGTGCTGCCTTAAAGTTTTTCAGAAACAAGAGCTTTGTGAATGTGGCCTTCACGCATGTAACAAGCATGCTTTGCACTTAAATAATTGTGGAATAGAGGAGTATAGCAGTTATATGTCTTCCTAATCAAATTTATTTCTTGATTGGTTGGCTTTACCTTACCTTGAATTACTCACAACTTTATTGGCTGAAGAATCTCTCTCTTTCTCTCTCTCATAAATGGGAAAGAGAAAAAAACTGGTTCACAGCTTCTTCCACGTAAGTCTTTAACCTGCTTGACTGGACTAAGAATCTTTTGAATTTGACTTCAATTTCAATAAATTTCTTGTCATAATATACTGTAGTTGTTTTGTTATTTCAAAAAAATATACTGTAGTTGGTTTACATCTATTTGACTTTAGATCAGGTCCAAGTTCTCCTTACATTCAGTCTGTCTTCCTTATTTCAGTTGCTCTAAACTATTTCCCTTTTAGGCTCTTTATATATACTACTTTTGGTGCTTCTTTATCTACTAGTTGTTTAATTTTTTTTTTTTTAAATTCTCTTCAAAATATTAATTGTCCATGACAGGATTCATGCTACTTTAGTCTCTGCTGATACGTTGTTGCCACTATCTTATGCATAGGTGTCATTCATGGGTGAGCAATCTCATATTTCAATGGACTTTGATGCCGTGAGTTGTCCACCTCTCTGTCAGCTTTTCTTACCGATTTTTCTGTTGGCCCACTGAATCTATGTGTGAATTTTCCAACCTTTTCTCATTCTCTAATGTTGGAGAACAAAGAAAAGATAAGCACAACATTTATTGGCTATTGACATTAATTTTGATTTTACCTTATTTTTTTCATTCTGGAATAGATTATATCAGCTACTTTAGAGAACTATGTGGATTGCATGTTGAATCTAGAGACTGCAAAGGAAGATAGACGATCTTTTCAAACTGAGAACCAAGGGGTGTGTAAAGAAAGAGATAATGGCTCATTTTTCCCACATATTATTAAAAAGGTTCCTTCTATTCCAAATCTATCGACCATCTCTGAATCTGACTCCACAGTGTAAGTTTTCATTTTGATCGTGTATTTTGTGTATATTTATTATGGTGGGAAGTTTTTATGTTGAATATTGTCTGCTATTCAAACAGGGATACCTCAAAGAGCCCCTCTTACTGGTCGAGAGTTTGCTTATGCAATATGGCCAGATTGTCCAAGGAAGCTACGACAGTGCGTCGCATTCTCGAACCTCTTTTTCATACTTTTGATGCTGAAAATTATTGGTGTCCAGAAAAAGGAGTTGCTTGTTCTGTTCTACAATATTTGCAGTCTCTTTTGGAGGAATCAGGTTACACACTTGTCATTTAGTTTTCCGATCCTTGTTATATTGTTCTTTTCATGACTATTTGGTTTATATAATTTATTTTAGATGTTTCAACACCAGGAGAGAGCTCTCATTTACTACTATCCATTTTGGTCAAGCACTTGGATCATAAAACCATCAGCAAACAGCCTCTTCTACAAATCAATATTGTGGATGTCACAGCACAACTGGCAGGAAACACAAAGCAGCATGCTTCAGTTGCAATTACTGCTGCAATAACAGACTTAATAAAGCATTTGCGGAAATGCCTGCAAAGTTCAGCTGAATTGGGTGATACTGGGGAGGGAGTGAATAAATGGAACACAGAGCTTCAGTCTAGCTTAGAGAACTGCATCTCACAATTCTCAAATAAGGTTTGTAAATGTTTCTTCAGTTAATATACATTTTGTTTTCATTTGGAAACAATATTAGTTGGAAAAATTGATTTCTGAATGGTATCGAGGGGGTACCAACACGAAAACAAAATGATATGCACAAGAAAAAAACTAATTTCCATTACATCTTATTTACACAAGACTTCCTTTCTAAAACAACAATTATCAAATGAACTTCTCACCCCTTGATTTGTTCTTCTATTTTTTCGGTCCTTATTATCCAAAAGATTGCCGCTAGACTCAAACCAATGGCTGTCCTCTTCTTAGAGGTCTAGATGCCTCCCCAAGCCCTCGATAGAGATGACCTCCATCAAATTCAGCCTCAAAGGAAGCTCCAAATTCCTCCTTTTTTATTAGAAAAGAGGATATTATTAAGACAGAAGGAGGAAACCAAGAGGAAGATATCCTCCTACCAAATGGAAATAAGAAACAAAATACAAAACAAGGAATATGGAGCAGAAAGCATTATTAACAAGTATCCAAATTCCTTTGCATAGTAGACAAAGGCAACCCTGCTAAAGAAAAGGTGTTAATCCATAAAGAAGGCCCCACAAGAAAAAAGGTGTTAACCCCTAAAGAGGCCATGCATATCGTCCTATTCCAAATAAAATTAGTAGGATTGACACATAAGTAGAATATCCTTGCATTATGCTATGGCCATAGAAACCAACACCTAGGAAGGGGTTCCCCTGCTTAAACATTCTGTGCTCACTCTTTAGACAACCCCTCAAATTGGCAGAGGAAAACACCTCAAGAGTGGAAGAACAAACTCATCATTTCTCAAAAAGTGCAAACAACTCATTATGTAGCTGCAAAGCCACCTCAAAACCAAGAATAACTGCCTTCTTGTCTTTGATGCCTGTGAGCATCACAAAAATGATAGGGGAGTTTGCTATATCTGGTTGATGCATCTGAAGCAAATTCTATTTAAATTATTAGGGAAATAACTATATTCCAAATCCTTGAAATTTGCTAAAATACTTTAGAAGTATGAGTTCATTTTGTTTTTTTGTAAAAAAAAGTGTGAATTAAAGTCATGTATTTGTGTATGTTATATTTATGGTTAGAGGGAAAAATGAAAAAGTAAACTAGAAAACTTTTCCTTTGAGTAAAATAGGGTAAAAGAAAAGGATGAAAACAAACCTTTCTTTAGGCTCAATTTGGTTCCCGAAAGATTATTTCCCCCATTTTCCCATGTTTGGTTGGTATAAAAATAAAGACCGAGTTATGTTTTTTGTTATGTCCTTTTTTTTTCTTTGAGACTCTTGTGTTTTCCAAATACAATTATATCATCTTGTAACATCTTAATGTGATTTATGCATATGTGATGATATTTATCATTTATGTAATGAATCTCTCCAGAAAAAAATGATAATTCTGAAAAATGCCAATCAATATGAAAATTAATGTTCTTAAAAGATTCATTAAACAGATATCTTTTTCATTAAAATTTAACTATTAAACTTAGTATTTTCTTACCCTCAAATAGCCTTGATGTATGGTAATTGTCCTTCGATTCCTGAACTTTTGGCCTTTACTGAGCTTCTTATATCCTGCCAATCACTCTTTCATTGTTATAAATATGAAAAGAAGCAAAAGCTAATCAAATCCAAAGAAGCATAGTATCTCTCTGCTATTTGGTGAGATGTTCTAGCAAAGCTGGTTTTTTCTCATCTCTCTCTGTATTTATGTCTTCATTATTGCGACTACATGGTATTCTTGTAATTAGCAGGTTGGTGATGTGGGGCCTATTCTTGATATGATTGCTATGGTGCTAGAGAATATTTCAACTAATACCATTGTTGCAAGAACAACAATTTCTGCTGTGCATCGGACAGTGCAGATTATTTCTTGCATCCCTAACATATCATATCACAAGAAGGCAAGTGAACTTGCTTATCACGTGAAGTTGTGCTGCATGCTTAGATACCAGAAAAGCCATCTAACATTCTCCGTTTCACTTATATTCTCTTTCAGGCGTTTCCTGATGCATTGTTTCATCAGTTGCTTCTAGCCATGGCACACCCTGATCATGAAACTAGAGTTGGGGCACATAGTGTTTTCTCCATTGTGCTTATGCCATCATTGCTTTCGCCTTGGTCAGACCAGAATAAGAAACCATCAGAAGCTGTTCCTACTAAGGTAAGGAGTGGGAGTTTCTCCTTTCAGGATGAAGATAATGCTAAACAAGAACACATTGATGGAGAACTGAGAGAAGAAGGAAATCAAATATCAGATACGAGTCTGAGAAAATTTAAGGCATCTCATTCTCGTGGTCAGTCATTTAGCTTCCAGCATGCTTTGACTGATGGCAAAAGAGTACAGAACTCAAACTTGATACTGCTTAGTTTTTTGTTATAGAATCTTTATTATAAGTAATTACTTTCTTTTCTTACCCATTGAAATTTATTTTGGCAGATAACTTCACTTCGATTGAGTAGTCATCAAGTGAGCCTCATACTTTCATCAATATGGGTTCAGGCAACATCTGTGGAAAATACCCCTGCAAATTTTGAGGCTATGGCCCACACTTATAATATTGCTTTACTTTATACCCGAACTAAGGTGTGTCATGCTCATAATATTTGCTATAATTGGTTCTATTTGCCAAAAATTATTTATCCCCTTTCTAAGTGTTGCCTTAACTTAAATGTGATTTCTGACTTGGCTTTCCACTATCTTCTAACATAAATCCAGATCAAGCAGTGCTGATTTTTCTTTAATGTATAATGTAAAGTGAATAGGATATTTGGCTTGTTAGACATTAGGAAAGCTACATATGCTCCTAATGTTTTGACCTCCCTCATAGATTGGCTTAGTTCTTCTTATGAATATCTGCTGTAGTGGGCTTATATCCAAGAGGGTATGGCCCATATACAAGAGAATGTTTAGGTATTACCAAGATAGAACAAAATATCTATGAGGTTCCTTAGATCTTTTCCTTTGCTGAGAGGTGACATTAAACAAAATACATAAAATTAACTTCTCTACTCCTTCACCTCTCTTCTGATGTTGACACCAGATGGCTACTAGAAATTTTCTTACCAGAAAGAAACACTTCTCCTATTTCATCTTCGTCCTATATTTCTTTCTCTATATGCAGAGGAATTGGGAGGCAATTTTGCATTGATTTATGTTTCATTTTTCCCCTCTTTAAGGTGGTCATTTAGAAGATGTCTTATCATCAATATTGTATCTCTTTCTCCAATGACCAATAATATTTGTTTTCTTGTTAAAAAAATAAAAAATGAAAATAATGGTTAATTTTGTCAATCACAGACATCCAGTCACCTGGCTCTAGTTCGGTGTTTTCAGTTGGCATTCTCACTTCGAAGAGTCTCTCTGGATCAAGATGGTAATTTTTGTTCTATGATAACTCGCTTTCTCTGTCTTTCTCTTTATTGTTTGTTTGAAGAACAAAGGTAGTAATATATTTAGTGATGCAACTGAAAGTTAAATCTTTTATCTTTACACCTTACACTAAGTGCACAGGCAGCTGGATAATCTTGATGGTTCATCTGCCTGAGTCCCCACATTAAGATAGGATGTGCTGTAAAGTGGTGAACTATAGCTAAACTAATGGGGATAATTGGCCTATTGAAATTTCAGAAAAAGATTAGATTTATGTGTAAGTTTTGAACATGGGTGGCACCCTTTTGGCTCCCTGTTACTGCATTATCTCTTTTGCTCTTGAAAAAATAATCGTGACAATCTGATAATTTCATATTATGTCCCACTAAAAATTTGAAGATCCCAAGTTATCATGTAAATTCTTCCATTAGTACTTTGAGTGAGGACACTTTCTTTGGGATAGATTGATGTTTTTAAGTTCTTTATCTGCCAACACTCATTGCTTTTTGGGAATTTCTGCTACCTGTCTTGGAAAAGGGATTCTTTTTTTTTTTAGAAAAAAAAAATCTTAGAAAGAGGATTGGATTGTTCCATCTACTGATATTTCAACATCTATTTCCTTTTTTTTTTCTCTGTGTTAGGAGGATGTCTTGCTCTCCGTTCTTGTAATTTTCATCAATAGAGCCACTTATAAAAAATCTATTAAACTGCTCTCTCTCTCTCCCTCTCTCTCTGACTTGCAAAATTTTCTAAGACAGTTGCATCAGATGATGTTTTATGATTTCCTTTTGAAAAGCTTAAGATAATAAAAGCTACCTTTACATTTCTCAACAAAGCAAATTGATTATAGAGGAGAATATCTCAATATTTAATAATGTTATTTGATATGCTAGTACTCTTATTATGTATACTCAACTTGCCTAAGAGTGGGCTTATTGGGATTAATATGGGGAGGGAATAGTTGAGCAAATAGCAGAATTGATAGGATGCACTGGACTAATCTGGCTCATCATATACTTAGGTGTCCAATTAGGGGGTTAACTCTAGGAGGATGATTTTTTGGGATGGAGTAATGAGTAAAGTGAACAGATTGTTGGAGTGTGGATAGAGGGTTGTTTTCACTAGGAGGTAGGATTATGTTTTTTTTCTAGTATATTTATCTTCCTTTTGTCATTGTTTAAGATAACTGTAGGGGTAGTAGAGAGAATATAGGAATGTAAGTGGCATTTTTACTGTGCGGGGAAGGATAATCAAGACCACTTAGGGAGTTGGGGGACTTGTTGTCTGTCCAAGTGTTCAAGGGGATTGGGTATAAGAATCTTAGATAAAAAAGTTATATCTATTTTGGCTGAATGTATTTGACGCTCTTTATGGGAACCAACTCTCTCTGGTATAGAGTGATCAACAACATCATGGGGGTTGGAGGGTTGGAGGGAATGCCATAATAGGATGATCCATATCTCATAGAAGTATTTTGTAAGCTATATTTCGGGTACGTCCATTTCCTATGCAACCTATCCAATAGTGAGACTCCTAATATGCTTAACCTCTTAATCCTGCTGAAGGCAGTTCATATTAATACACAGTCTGAGAACAGAATTTGGAATTTGGAACATTCGGATCTATATGCTTGTAAGTCTTTCTTTGATCACCTTATCAAACACTCATCCTCTGGCTAGCTCATTGTTGCCAAGGAATTTTTAGAAAGCTCTAGTGCCATCAAAGGTAATGGTGTTTGCATTGATGACCATTCATTAAAGGCTTAAAACTAAGGAGATGTTACAAATCCATTGGCCTAACCGAGTGTTGTCTCTAGATTTTTGTAGCATGTACTACAAAGGAGGGGAAACACATTCCCACTTACTTTTATATTGTGAGACAGCCTCCCAAATGTGGGCGTGAGTACTTGATCCATTCGGTATATGTTTGGTCATTCTTCCTAGACTAGAAAGTTTGTTTTCATGGGGAAGGTGTTAGGAGGTGGCAAAACTGAAGAAAACAAGGAGGGAAAGTTTGTGTGACGAGAAAAAATCCTCTGATTTTCTTCAATATTACATGAGTACAAATGTGCCAAATATATAGGCTTTTGGCCAAAACAAAAGACGGTTAAAAGATATTAACAAAAAGTTAAAAAATTAGTGGAGAGAGCACCCAGCTGTCCTAACAATACTAGCTGTCCTAACCACTTGAGAAAAGACTAAGCTGTCCCTAATATAAGTATACATGTATATATACATTCCTACATATGAACATTCTACACTCCTCAATTTAGTTACATAAATGTTAAGTAACCCTAAATTGGATACAGATTATTGAACTCCCTTTTTGGTAGTGTCTTGTGAGTATGTCAGCTGTTTGTGACTAGTCGGATGTATAGGAGTGATACATCCGTACTTTCAATTTTTTTCTC